TTCGAGCTGCTGATGCAGGAGCCGTCGGGCAGCGCTGTCCTGACAGGAGAGCAGCGCTCTGTCCTCAGCGCCCTGGCGGGCCGTTGCCTCGGGGGGGCCCTGGCACCAGGGAGGAGGTGAGCAGGGCTGGCTGGGCACTGACTGCTGGCAGGATGGGGCTGCAGCCTCTGCCTTGGGGAAGATCATCCTGGTGGTGACCCTTGTCCCTGCCCCATTGCCCCCTGTCCCTGCCCCTTAAGCAGCCCTGGGCTCAGCTCTGCCCTTCTCTTCCCCTGTGCTGGGGTGAAGGGAGGGCTGGGGCTGGGGCTTGGCTGCGCTAGTTCTGCAAGGGTGGCTGGACCTTGCAGAGATGTTAGTCCTTGCAAGCCTTGGGCTTGTAGGAATAGATGTACAAATAGATGCCCTGGCTGGGGTGGGGGTGTCCCCCGGCTGTGCTGATCCCCTGGTTTGCCCAGCAGGTCGTCGGTGGTGGATGAGTCATGCCACTCTTTGCTGTCCCACTCGGACATCAGCTACGACCGCACCGAGGACGATGTGGTAAGGAAGGATGTGCTACCTGTCTCAGGGCTGGCTTCTCCCCACACCTCTGTCTCAGCAGCACCTCTAGCAGCAGCCTGGCAGTGAGGGAACAGTTTTGCCCCGCTCCTGCAGAGGGGCAGCCCCTTTGCCTTGGCCAGCAGCAAGCAGTGGGCTGGATGCCCCCTGATACCCTGTGCTGCTGAGCATGGATGCTGGGGGTACCCTATGCCGCCCTACCAGCCCCCAGGCACCCTCCTGCCTTTTAGGTTGTTGACGTGACAGTGGTGAAGACCCTGAAGCGCAAAGCTCAGGAGAGACAGGTACAAGCGAAATGATGGGACGTAGTGGCCTGAGTGTGCTGGGGCCAGTGCTGAGCTGGAGTTTCACCCTGATGTGGGTGAGCGGGTCCTGGGAGGGTCTCTGGGTCTCCTCTGCTCTCCCATGCTGTAGCTGTGAGATCCTTTGCCCAGTACAGGCCCCGTGGTGCCAGGGTGCAACCCAAGCCTACGGTGCCAGTGCTGGGCCCGTACGATGTAAGGGTACTTGAATATCTCCCTGACCCTGCATGGGAGGCTGCAAAGAGCCTGGCAGAGGGGTTTAATTTATTGATGCTGAGCTGGGAGCTCAGTCGTCTCTCAGCAAACCTCCCGCGATCAATAGAAACTCCATTACCCCGCACCGCGGCCCAGCGGGGCTCCTCAATAATTCATCCCCACGTGCAGGCATCCCGCACCCTGCTCCTCTCACCCCTCTGCATTGCAGGCCTGGCCTGGCCTGCCCCAGTACAGACATGGGGAGGGGGCCTCGGTCCCCAGCGGTGCCTGGTGGGGGACAGGCGGTGAGATCGGGACCCCTTGTGGGGCTGAGACCGCTCGGCTTGGGTGCTTGGTGCATGACTGCTGGGGGCAGAGGCAAGGATGGTGTCCCTGCCTACCTGTCACCCCATCTGCTCTGTCCCCAGCGTGCGTCCCTGGCCCCTCAGATCGGCCCCGTGGTAGTGGCAAAGCGGCACCGTCCTTCTGTGGCACCCCCCAATGCTGTGAGTAGGGACCTGGCCCCCCAGCCCACCTGGGGCAGGGGTGGGGGCAGGGGGGAGTGATGGGCAGTGCTACACCTTCCACCCTGCAGGCTTGTGGGTGCTATGGGGCCCCTGGGTGCTCATCTGTCCCCTCCGGGTACCAGTGCCCCACAGCCCGTATCCCCCGCGGGGACAGCATCCCGGGCTGCGTGGGGCCCTGTGGGGCGCGGGAAGGGGCCGAGCAGAGCTCGCGGGAGATGTTAGAGTGCTGTGGGGCTGCGGCCAGGCACCGTGCCTCACCGCCCCCC